AATTTCCTCCATCAATTGAGTATCTTGTCTTGAGTAGAGTCATCTCATTCAGGAGATGATGAGGGCCTGCAAGTGGCCAGGGTGAGTTGTGCTCCCAGGGCAAGTGTATTATCCTGCCCCGGCTTTCCCACTGCACATACTAAATGCCTAACACCTCCACTTTCTCAATGGTACGGACACATGATCACCTTGAAACAAATGTATCCTCTTTTTAGTTCATATTACCTTCTTTAGCAAATATTTAAGCTCCACGGTAAGCCACCATGAAGTGACAATGGAGCCCTCTGAGGTCTGATTCATTCCTTCTCAATCAGTTTGGTCACTATCAAATAGGGGCCACACTGGCGATAAAGAATAAATTCAGATATACAGATCTGGAGTGAAATAGCGTTTAAGGTCCTCTTCTATTGTGCTGGCAGAAAGTGCAGTGAGTGCTACCAGAAAGCCAAGGGGAATGATATCAGCCTAGAAAATCAACTGAAAGGTGTCACTGCCACAGGCAGCAGAGGGCTCTCTAACACCACAGAGCAGTGCACAAGCAGGGCCCACATGACCTGGGTTCTCACCAGTGAACTAGAAGTCATCCCGTTATCAATGTTTATGTGTTTGCAGAAGGATATTCTTAAGACCAATACTTAGAGGCTAGATGAATTCTGTTGATAGGAAGCTTCAGTGAAATTTTCAGTTGTTGAATCACTAGTAATGCTAATTAATCATATGGCTTTAAGTCTTCTTTGAAAGGTTGCAATTTAGAACTATTATGTCCTTTAGCATAAAAAATTAATATTCAGGGGTTGGAGAGATGGCTCAGCGGTTAAGCACTGGCTGTTCTTGCAGAGGACTTGGGTTCACTTCCCAGCATCCACATGGTTGCTAACAACTATCCATAACTCCAGTTCTGGGGGATCTGATGCCTTCATCTGACCTCTGTAGGCACTGCATGACAAGGGAGCACTTACATGCAGGCAAAACACTCATCCACATAAAATATAAACAAATAAAACAAAAATTAAAAAATTAATATTCAGTAACATACACTATGTATCACAATTTGTTGGATGAAGCATGGGAAAGAGAATTACATAGACATTATCAATGTCTGCTTCTCACCTGGCAAATACACCCAGGAAGGAACTGGATGTTTACCCAAGCATGGGGATGCTAGTGCATTTAAACCAGAGGAAGCTAAATTAACCACTAGTGCTCACAGCTTCACCTTCCACCATCCTTCCTGGAGATAAGTTAGGGGCTATGGGAAAGTTAATCTAGTAAATCCAAATGCTGTGGTGAAAGTTGAGTTTGTCACAGAATTAAGACTCAGATGAGACCTTTGTATTTCATCCTGCTATGGTCTTTCTATAAATAAAACAGAGATCCTTCTCCTCAAAGTCACAAATTGCAGGGAAAGAAATACCAATAGAAGGTGAATCATACAGAAAGCTCAGGCTATCAGCTAAACCTGGGATCTGATAAAACTCAGACTCACTGGTCACCAAAGGTAAAAACCTTAGTCACCTTAGAAAAGTCTCTTTTCAAATCTTAGCATGGTTCTTTACTTTATTTCTCTGCTTATATTATTGCAGGGAACTTTTTTGGACAGGGAGAATATCCATATAAAACACTATGAAGTATGTCATTTTATCATGAACTTTAAGAATTATGTTAGTATTTTAATATTTTTAAAAATAATGAGGGGAGAGCCAGGTGTGGTGGCGCATGCCTTCAATCCCAGCACTTGGGAGGCAGAGGCAGGTGGATCTCTGTGAGTTCAAGGCCAGCCTGGTCTACACAGTAAGTTCAAGGACAGCTGGGGCTACAGAGAGACCCTGTCTCAAAAAGACAAAAACCAAAACAAACAAACAAACAAAAAACCAACCAAACAAACAAAAAACAACAGGGGGAGGATGGTCACTAGAGAGTTCATGCTCTTGATAGAGGACTGGAATTTCGTTTGGTTTCCAGCACCCATGTCAGGCAGCTTACAACCACCTATAACTCCAGCTCCAGGGGATCCAACACACTCTTCCGATATCTGCAGGCACTACACTCATGTGCACAAACCCACACCTAGGCAAACACATACACAAAATTAAAATAAAATAAAAATAAAACCTCAAAAATAAAAGTAGCTGGGACAATTTTAAACTATGTTATAGATATTTAATAAGATCACATTTTTAAAATTAAGCTGTTTGAGATGAAGTATAAGAAACGAGACTTTACGGAGGGACACATTTATACATTTAGCTTCTGAAAAGTTTTTACTAAAGAGTATGGGTTTCTGAACAGTCAAGTGTATGCTGGAAACTCTGCAAATCAAATTCAACACTACACAGGACACAGAAGACTGGAAAGAGGACTGAAGTGCTTAACTTTGTTCTTACTTTTTAACTTCATCTGTATTCTCATCTTAATTACCGATTAGTGGTAAGAAAAAAATCTTCTACACCTTTGAAGAGTATGTAAAGAAGGCTAAAGTGTCATCTATGGAAATTATAAGTCAGGCAGACATTATACTACATATCTGACCTCTACCCCCTAATAAGATCAGGCACGTAGATGAGGTTAAATAAAACACAGGGTACCGTATCCATTTGGGCACATCTGTTATTACATCAATCATGCAGTCTTACTGAATTCACCACAACATTCAATTGTCTGGTGGTATTTCTGCATCCTCATTAGTGCACCACAACAGAACTTGTGTCCTAAATACCTTATGATCCCTGACAGGACAGAGCAGTGCTTGATCAAAGAGAAAATATTATATGATATTGGAAGTTTTAACAGGCAAAACTGAAAAAAAAGAGAAGACCTTCCATAAAGTTATGATACTAAATATGCCATGTGTTAACCGTGGGCTGTACAGTGTTAAAGATTCCTACATATACCAGCTGTCAATAACTTTATACAAGCTATAATCATTAACTAGAATCCACACCAGCATTTTCAATACATATCTTGAGCACGAATTTCATTACTTGGTATTTAAAACTGTTCTTTTATCTATCTACTTTCAACTCAGTTTCTATCAGTTTTCTATCTACTCACCAGCTCCCCGGTGCTCTAAAACACTTCCTGCAAAGTTCTACAAACTTCCTGCTCTGGGCAGCTAAGGTGGGGACCATCAGCGATTCGATCTTTGTCATTATCAATAGTCATGGAGCTGGGAGCTCAAGAACAATTGTGCACAGGAGTAGGAAGCTTTCTGCATAAACACTTCAGCTCACTAGGCACCTCAGTGCCTGCATCTGGACATTGCCTTCACGAGGGTTATAATCAAAAGCAGGCATACCCTAGAAGCAGGGGCTGTCAGGGAATAAGTCAAATCAAATTCAAGAGTTCGGAAGCTGTGCACCACTGAATGCATAGCGATCTGAAGCAATAACAGTGTTCTTGAATGCAAATTCAAGTTATTCCTAGGTTCATTAATAATGACCAATACTGTACAATGATTTTCTGGAAGTTACATTGCTGTCCTCAATTTAACAGCTTAGAGCAGTATTTTGGCAATGTAAAGATCTATTTTCTTCTTAGCAGCTCTATATGATCAGGTAGCTATTGCAGAGCTTAGGAAGAGCCAATATATTTTTTAATCTAAAATACAACCTGCTTAAAACTCTTAAGAGCTGACATCATAAGGGAAAAATGTCTCCAACTTTTCAATTGGACATCAAGCCAAAAGTAAGAAGTGTGCATTAGTTTTACAGATTTTAAGTATGTGAACGTTTCTGTCAAATTAATAGACTATAGAATTATAAATTCATCTTGAAGGTTCTTCCTCCTGCTGTACAATATTAATCTTTGAAAATGAACTCTGAACCCCAGTGTCAAGTTCCTATTACAGTGGAATTATCAGGACAGAAAAAGGAAAACAACTGTAAAGGTTCCCACCACAGTCAATCCGTGGGAACCTTTTTATTATGAAAAACAAATTTTATATCTCACTTTTGTTAAAGCATGAACAAAATATTTGTGGCATGGTTTTTAAAAGTAAAATTCATTTTGTCTAGGTTTTTTTCCAATGAAATAATAATTGCCTGATTTATAGAGCATTATTTTTACATAAAAATTCTGAATGAAACATTTATATGGAATTGCATGTCACTGTAGGTAAGACAATTGGAGTTAAACTGTGGTTATCTGATTATCAAAAGTAATTATTTCAATCATGAAATAATGTGACCTTGGGCATCTCAGGCTTTCGGCATGCCTCAGTTTGCCTGGGACTTGGTGGTTTCAGAGGTGACTTCCAGTTCAGCACTCCAGGACACGTTACTCACGTCTACTGCTTTTCCGCAGCGATCTTCTTGACCCACGCTGCGGTTTACAGTTACCTTTCTCCACTTCCTAAGGATCCCTGGGGCCCCCACATCACAGTCACCCGGGAGCAAGACCTGAACCGCAGGCTCAGTCACTCTTACACAGCATTTTTTCAAAGTGTCATTTGGGTAATATATCTATCTAGAATTATCCAAGGAGAAATATTATCCTTAACCTCTAGTCCCGCTTATTTCAAGTGTACTTAACGATAAAAAATCCTCGCCTAGAAATCGAGACTCAAGATGCTTTTAAGGTCTTCCGCCCTCTTACGTGTTCTAACAGTAGCCCCAGCTATCCTGGAACTCACTATGTAGACCAGGCTGGCCTCGAACTCACAGAGATCCGCCTGCCTCTGCCTCCCAAGTGGTGGGATTAAAGGGCGTGCACCACCACGCCCGGTTTACAAACCTGCCTTTAAACGCAGTCCTCTTGGCTTTTCCTCGGACTGCAGAAATATTATTTGAAGTCACCTCCACTCAAAAAAGGCAATAACTGAACACAGTAATCGTTAAGTGTCTGCACAAAAGTGTCAACGAAAGCGCAGTATAGCATTTAAACTTCTGGTCTGAGAAAAGAACAGCTTGCAGCAAATTCCCAAACGATGCCGAACTGGTAAAGTTACGTGGTTCTTATAGTACTCGGAAAACAGCAAACAGAAGAAAACCGGACAGCACTACCTTCGCAGCGGCATGATCTCACAAGCCATCCTCGCGCGCGGGGACTCCTCCTGCCCAGCCCGGCGAGTGCACGACCCGAGCTCTCAGACGAGCAACCTGCTGGCCGCTGCCTCCCGCGCCAGCTCGGGGCCAGGCTTTTTATCTGCTGCCTCCACCTCCTCACTGCAGTCCACTTTGACCTTTTGTTCCAGGGAAGCAGCTGCAGCCCGGAGCCAATCAGCGGCGCTGCAGCCGAGTTGTGAACGCAGCTGCTCCTCCTCCTGCTGCTCCGCCGGCTCCTCAGTGGGCTGCGGAACCCCAGTAACCCGAAACTTTCCTGTGAGCAGTTCCAGACAAGCTTGTCAGTCTGTGCAAAGCAACCAATAACTGCAGCCGACAGCAGTCCTGCTCTGCTCAACATGCCAGCAAGGAAATGCGTTGTCAAGGATAGACACTGCTTCGGAGACGAAGCATTTCGTGGCGGAAGGCGAGAGCTGGGCTGCACCCTTTTTTCCTTGAAAAACAAAAACTCTCCAAACACCAAGGTTGGAAGGCATGAGACTTTTCCAGAAGGAAGGCATGCCCAGCACCCTTGCCCTACACACACTTACTTCCGGCTGATGCTTGTTTACACTGGACGGTGAGCAGTCCCTGGTGATGTCACCCCTGGCACATTATTTTCCCTCCTGGGGACACAGTGCCTGACCCTGCTCAAGTTCTCGGCCCTCAAGGGACCAAAGAGTCTGTTTCTCCTTGCGTGGCCCCTGAGCCTATGGTTTCGGCGTTTCATTCCTATAAAACTGGTTATAGTCATTTGCACATTATTCTCCACCAAAAACATCAACTGAATTTTGGAGAGATGTGTTTCTTATTATATAATATTATTCTATTTTTTACTGCTAATGTAAAAATTAATTTTCCATAAGGCCTTCTAAATGCTTATTAATTATCATCTTTTGATTTGTATTTATGGGTATGAGTGTTTGCCTGTGTGTATGAGCATAATGCATGTGCCTGGTGCCTGAAGATGCCAGAAGAGGGCATCAGATCTCTGGAACTGGAGTTACAAGGCATTGTGAACCACTGTGTGGGTGCTGGGAACTGATCCTGGGTCCTCTGCAAGGGCAGCAAGCACTCTTAACTGCTCGGCCATCTATCTCTTCAGCCCCTATAATTTCTTCATATGGAAGGAACACTAGGGTGTTATTTCTAGGACTATCATTGCAATTCACGGGTTTTATAGGATGCAAGAATATACCAGACACACATTTATATTCAGTTTATTTCACATCGTGAAAGTTTAAAGAGTTACAACACAGTCCAGAATGCTACTTCTAGTAGCAGAAAGGACAGAGACCAGGTCAATGACATTCAGAAGGTGAGTGTAAAGGCTTGCAAATGTACCTTCCTCACCTGGAGTTTTTCCCAGATTTCTTTCTTTTTTTTTCAGACTACTCACTCATACATGTGAATTTTGAACACAAGTTCCTATTGTCTATTTTCCTTTGCCATATCTGGTAATAAAAATATTTTCATCACCTGACTAAATCATCTTAAATGTTTATGAAATAGATTAACAGTCATGAACTATATTCAGACATAATGAGAGACCATCAAAAACTAAAGCCAGACTTTTAAAACAATGGAAGTTGATCCAGGTCTAAACTTTATTTAAATTGAAACTGTCACCATAGTCTCTTTTCATAATTTGCTTTTAAATGGTCTTTCTCCCTCCCACTTTTTCTTTTCTTTTTTTTTTTAGGCAGGGTCTTCCTGTAGCTCCAGCAGGCCTAGAACTCACTATGCAGAACAGTCTGGCCTGGATCTCACAGAGATCAGCCTGCCTCTGCTTCCTGAGTGCTGGGATTAAAGGCATGTGCCACCATGCCTGGCTTTCTTCAACTCTATTCTTAGAACCTCATTACTGATACCATCTTCACTTTGAACTGCCTTCGGTATCATATTCCTTCTTGTAGGCATCATAATTCACACGGGATAATGAGCTCCGGGTTGCATACAGATTTATTTTTGTGCCTGTCTTTGTCTTTGTTCATTCATTCAAACAAAATGCACACAGTGTTACAATATTTTTTTGAGACAGGGTTTCATATAGCCCAGACCAGCCTTGAACTTGCTATGTAGCTGAGGTTAGCCTTGAATTCCTGATCTTTCTGCCCCATCTGGGAGTATGGGTCTGGCACTAACTCTAGATTTGTGTATTCTAATTTAATTCTCCAGTAACAATAACATTAATCCCCAGTAACATTAGCCCCATACATTTGTGTATATTTCTTATTTTTTAAAATATCTTTCTCTTGTTTGACAGTATTTGAAGTAGAAAGTCCTAATTATATATCATAGTGATTTATTTATAAGTAAATTCCATACAAGAAAGGAGGTAGCATGTTCACATTTCCCAGGAGAACTTGGTGGTGGATGGACCCTGGGTTGGGGCTTTGCTGGCCTGCCCATTGCTCTCTGCTGAATACTGCACTGCTGACTGACTAGTCTACACTGAGCTTTGAAACATCTTGTAAGACATCAATTTTTTTGAGAATTTCACACAATGTATGTTTATTATTTTCAGAGCCCTTAAGACATCAATATTTTTAAAAATAGTCAAGACCAGGGGCCTGGAGAGATGGCTTAGCAGTTAAGAACACTGGCTGTTCTTGCAGAAGACCCAGGTTCGAATCCCAGCACCCACATGGCAGCTAACAACTATCCATAACTCCAGTTTCAGGGGATCCGATGGCTTCTTCTGTTCTCTGTGAGCATTGCATGACATGGATGCATTTACATACATGTAAGCAATACACTCATACACATAAAATAAAGAATAATAAATAAAATATTTAAAAAATAGTCAAGACTCAGTGTGACATAATGTTCTTTAGGAACACATCAATATTATTTGGCTAAAATGGAGGGGCTGGCAAGATGGCTTAGGGGGTAAAGGGGTTTACCACTGAACCTGACGACCTAGGATTGATCCCTGGGCCCCACATAGTAGAACTGATTCCCAAAAGGGAGAACCTCTCTCTCTCTCTCTCTCTCTCTCTCTCACAAAGATAAATATATATTTAAAAATCAGACATAAAAGTTCAACAATAAAGACAATAAAGGATCCAGCATTAGAAAATATGTAAAATTTAACTACAATTTACAATCAATAAATTCACAAAATACTTCATTGAACTATCATTTTGTTCAATGTCCGATTTCACATATATTTTCTGAGAAATTCTCTTTCCGTCAACATTCTTCTAACATATCATATCACACAGTTGGCAGTTATTTTTGAATCTACTAATATCATAACTTATTAATCACATGCCTTTTCGAAGTTTGATTTATTTATAACAATTTCTCCTTGAAGGCCTTACTTGGTCAGTTATGAATTGGCACCCAGTCATAGCCCTTCCTGTGTGCCCCACTGACAATTAGAGCTGTTGTTCCTTAAACACCTTCATCGTTTCTAACACCCTCTGCTCAGTGGTTCACAGGAGCAACGTTCAGGTTCACTGTCACTTTCAGCTCCTCAAAGGATGCATGTCCTCCTGGAGAACCCCTGCACATGTGCGCCTTCTGACTGCCAGCACCGCTCCACCTCCATTCACAGCTCTCTGATCATCTACCATTGCTCTGGGGTGTCTGTAGAGGAAGCCTGCACCCCAACCAACCTATAATGCAGTTTTTAAAAGGTGCTTTCCTGGCTCCCCTCAGCCTTTAGATGTGTTTAAAGTGACTTCACTAGCACGCTTTGGCTCTTCACCCTTTCTAAATCCTGCTCACTAGTAAACTGTTACCAGGCTGCTGAACAGTGCAAAACAAAGTCACAGAATTCTGGCAACTGGTTAGACTCAAGATTCATGCTATTTAACAGCACGAACCACAGGCTAGTCCCACAGCAACTGCTGTAAAACTTCTCTAGTGACACAATCCTCATGTTTCTCCATCACTAATGACCTCTTCCTGATCAAGAAACTCGAGATCACCAAGTAGGAGCAAGTGCCTTTAGACTTTGTGGTCCTGCTTATGTCCTTCCCCTGCCTCAACACACGGCAAAGGGTGCTTGTCATAGTCCCCTCTGGACAGTGGTAAAGGAGAGAGACAGAGGTTCAGAGAGGCCCCAGTGTGGCTCATCTGTGCCTTGGGTCTCAGTAGTTTCCCCTTCTTCTGAAAGAACTCAGGTGTCTACTCCATCCTAAATTCGTCACTTCCAGTAGGAATGAGTGAGTGTCCCTCAGCCTTAATCTCTTAGGCTTGGTTCCCACTTTCCCACTGATCCTTTCCCACACAGGATCCTTAGTCTTCTGAAACTTTTTTGGTTTTCTGTGGTCTCTCTTGGGACTTCTCAAACCTCCTTGATCACCATTCTTTTATTTGTCTTTCTGTATCTTTTACCTGGGCCTCCAAGCCCAATGAAGCTCAGTGCATTCAATAACCTGGGCCCTGGAATCCTGCCCTTGGAGACTGAATTCAGACTCCATCTCTGAGTTGGTATATTTTCTACAAGCTCCTGTAGGTATTTTAAAAGCTCTGAGGTTGTTGCCAGGAATCATGGGGCCACACATGTAAAGCGCACAGACTAGTGTGGGCAAACTGTAAGTGCTCACTAATTTTATGAACACTCCAGTCAACACATTCAAGCTCTCATATTATTTGATCTCCAATTTCTCCTCTTTCTGCCCTTATCAGTGATGTTCTTATTCTCTGTGAGTCACAATCAAGCCATGAGTCATCTTAACTCCTCCCTTTAACCAAATCTATTGAGAGTTCTGTTACCTCTGTCAATCAGTCTGCCTGGGTCACCTGTCCCAATATGATAACCTTCTTCCTTCCTCTGCTCGCTCGCTCACATTTTCTCCAATGCCTGTATTCCCTCCAGAGTCACTTGCCTACTGGGACTGTGTTCTGCTCACTGGCTCTGACACTCAAAACTTTAACAGTTCACACCAACCTCTTACTTAAAGCTCAGTGCTTTTAATATGGCATTTAGGACTCTCCATTGATCAATTTATCACTTCAGTTCAGCTGTCTATACCTCCTGAGAACAAGCTTGATCTATGGGTCACTATTTTCAGATTTGCTCTGAACTTTTCTAACACTTCCTTATGATACTCCCTTGGCTGGGGCAACTCTCCCGTTCCATTCCCTCTGGGCAAATTTCTA